TTGGGAGGGGCGGGGCGGGGCGGGGGAGGCACTGCCGACGCGCTCCCCTTGTTAAAAAGCCATACAAGGAATGACAGGGAATATGTGGCACGAGTTGGGATCGGTGGAGGAAATGGGGGGAGTAGATCACGGGCCAGGAAAGGCCGGGTGACGGTATAGTTAGTTAGCGTGTTCAGCGAGTGTCCAGATGCAGCCGCACACGTTGACAGAAAAGAAGAAAACACCTTCGCTGCCGAAATCCCCGTGTCTCCACCCACGGGCCAATCAGCCAAACGCCCATTCTATCGCAAGGGGTACTGACGTGCGGGCGGGTGATCCGCGCGGCGAGACTCCAGACTCGAGTCGCCGCTAGAGGGCACCCGCGTCGCTCATAATTCTTTTGTTTCAGTGTACACATGTGTTTGTTTGTTTTCAGCGCGGTGTTTTCGTGATGAAGTTTGAAAATTTGGTTTAGCGCGGTGTTTTGCTGACGAAAGGGACAATGTCGCGTTCTGCAGTTTTTCTTAGTATGAGCCTCTTCCATCGGGTCGTGGAAGACGAACCAAGAATCATCCGGGCTCGCTGAGAATGTGCTACAAGGTTGCGTAGCACGAAGTGAGAGGACCAAAGAGAGGTTATGGGTCGCCCTGCTCCTGTCAAGAGATGATCAACCTGCCATCGTTTCCATCACTGTCGGTAAGTGACTAACGAACCACTGGCACGCACCAGCGCTTGTCACGCGTGCGTGACGAAGTGTCTGCCGAAATGTCGAGGGCCTGTCAATCCCTCCAAGCCAGACCTGAGCAGCACCAAATGAGTTCATGGTCTGCGACAACCTGTCTGGTACCTCCACGGGGAAGGTGTTTGATTACTTGACACCCTTAACCCTTGCCCTGTACTGGGCACTTATTTCAAGGCAGAGGCTGTGCCTGCATGCCCTGCAGATTTCCCCTCTTGTTATTGTAGGTGCCTTTCCGTTCTAAAGGGACAGAGTGTAGAGTACAATCGTATGGTCATGTGTCTTATTCTTAAAGTGACTTTTTTGTTTGTTCTCAGTCCATTGCACTCCCAATGATGCGGAATACCAACAGGTGACCGGCACAGAGGCGACTTGGGTCACCTGGGGTCAGGTGAGTTATGCGACAGAGTTATTGGGTACCCCAGTTTAACACGTCTATCAACTTGGCAACAACACAATGCTCAGTTAGCAAATGCTAGAAATGTGTGTGTGTGTAGTGGTGGTGGTGTGTGTGTGTGGGGGGGG